GTCCTGGGCCCATCCCAGAGATTTAGACTGGATTGTTCTCAAGTGGGGCCCAGCTTGAATTTTTTAAACCAGTGTCCAGGTAATTCTAATCTGTAACTGGTATTAAGAATCACTGAATGGGAAGAAAAACAAAATTCTGCATTTAGGTAGAAGGACCTTCATATAATTCTTACAAATACAAAAACTAAAAAGGCTTTAATGAGGTACATATATGTCTATGTGTACATACAAATATTAAAATCTAACTTTGACAAATTTAGGGAAATGTACATAACGGTGCATCCATTACTATAATCTACTTTTGGTAAACTTCCATCATACCTTTGCAATCAATTTCCCCTCCTCCCCATGGCATCAATGGAAACATTAATCTGCTTCCTACCTGCTTTTGCCTTTTATAGAAATTTCATATAAATGACCAATCATATCATAAATAATCTTGCCTGACTTAATAACCTTAGCATGTTTTTCAGTTTGTACAACCCCAAACTTTTCATGCTTCTTTATCAGTAGAATGTTCCATTGTTTTGTTTTTGTTTTTTAATTTGACCAGAGAGGGACAGAGAGAGAGAGAGAGAGAGAGATGGGTGGGTGAGGGAGGAGTGAGAAAGGAAGCCACCAGGTCCAGGACTCAAACGCGTTCAACCATGTGGGGAGTTCAGTACCCTTAACCACCATGCCACCTGCCGGCCCCTGGAATGTTCCATTGTATATAAAAATATTTTTTTGCTTATCAATTCATTAGCTGACAGATATTTGCAGTTTCTGATTCTTAGCTAATATGAATATGGTTTTAGAAACATTTTCTTATACCTTTATATGAACATATGTTCCCATTTCTGTTGGGTAAATACCTAGGAATGGAAGTGCTAAGTTGTAGAGTTGAGTGTAAGTTTAACTGCAAAACTGCTTTCCATAGTAGCTGTATGTAGTATTTTACATCCCCACCACAATAAGAGAGATTTGCAGTTTCTCCACATTCTCCACATTCTCATCAAGATTTGACAGTCACTGTATTTGACTACAGCCTTCCTATTGAGTGCATTGTAATTTGCACTTCCCCCCAGACTGAAGTCATTGAACACCATTTCACATGCACCCTATGACATATATTAAATATTGGTAGCTAATTCTGTTTATTTTATTTTTTTAAGGTTTTACCATAGGGCGCGTGTGCCTGCTGGAGAGCGATGGAAAGAAACAGAGAGAGATGAAGTGAGAAATGACCCCCAGGGGATGGCCACGCCACAATCCCTTCTCCTCCATTCTCCTCTCTGGATTTTGGGCATGCACACACATGTGCCCAGAGTGAGTTTCAAGTTGTTGGATTCAGGACTTGAACCTTGGTCATCCCTGTGAACATCTAGATCCTTAACCTAACCAATATACCATCTGCTAGCCCTGGTAGCTAATATTTTTATTACTTACCCAAGACCTGGTTAGATTGCAAATAAAAATCACTCAATTTATTGACAATTTCATAAAATGATTCTATGAAGTTAGAGCAAGTCAGGCAATTTTCATTATATTTCTAGTTTTTTAATAAAAGCTTTATTTATATATAGGTATGCCTTTTTTAAAGAAAGTGTATATTCTAAAGAAAGATATATCTCTATATAAAATTTTTATTAAAAAAATCCTTTAGTATTAGGACTAAGTGTATCTGTTTATATAGTTCTTTTGCATTTTTCCTATATCATAATTATTTCTGGGTAGTTCCTTAAAATTACTTTTAGAAAGCATTCTTTTGCTAATATAATTTAAACATACTTCAAGTTGAACAGTTTGCTATTTTAGTTCAAATTACAAAACTGCTGTATTTAACAATGTTTGATATACACCAACAGCAGTATCATATAGTTCACACATAAATACATAAAAATAAATGAGATATGTATGAATTTTATCAGGGGATGAAATCTAGGGAATTAATAAAAAAACCGGGGCACAGATTTTGGTTTGTATAACATGGATGGAGTCTATTCAAAGTCTTTCTTCATCTGGTCAGTCATTACTGCCTAGAAATATATACTTCACTCATTATTTAATAAATATATTTGGGTACTGAGCAAGTGTCAGACAGACACACACTTAGTGTATTTGATGGTGCTAAGCACTGAGGAGACAGCAAACTTGGGAAGATGGATATAATGACAGAAGGGTCTGTTTGCAATTCTAATTCGCATAGCAAAATAGGTATTGCATGAGCAAATAACTTTGGAGTAAAGGCCTGAAAAAAAATGGAAAGGCAGTGGCCATATGACTTCCCGAGGTCAGAAATAATCTAGTTACCTACACCGTAAGGTGAGTTTCACGAGGGCAAGGATTTTATTGTGTGTACTGCTGGTCCAGTTTGTAAAACAGTGCCTGGTGTAGTTTAGGTACAAAATGAAGGTAGCTCCTGAAAAGTGAGTATTTAATACAAATATACATAAATACTCAATATATGTACATTGAATTGTTTCTACTACAAATGGTAGCATATCCATTGCATACCTCACCTTTCTCACACCACATGTCTTTCGGATTGTTTCTAGTCAGATGCTCTAAATACAATGTTATAATAAGACCTGTAATTATTTCTCCGTTACCCATTTTCTGTTACAGTACAAATTCCATGAGAGGAATATGCAAGTCCTATTCATTAATCACTAATACCCAGATTACAGTTACTACGCCTGCTCCATATTCAAATAAATGAATGGCAGGCATGAATACATGAATGAGTAGAAGTCACAGAGGAACGGTTTTAGGAAACAGTATAAAATTTAGTTTGGAGACTCTCATACGTACATGAACATACAGGGCAACAGTATAGACTACTTGGGCATAATTCGGAAAGTTATAGAGAAACAGCATTATGGCTTAGGGGATAACCTGAGAATTGGTATGTTATTTAAAATTGAGAGGCTATTGTTAGTGGTGCTTGGATAGGCCTATGAAATTTACCAAATATAAAACTTAATGGAACTTTTAGGGACTAGCAGTTAGCATAATGGCTATGTCGCTGGACTCCCATGTAGTCAACCATGGTCCGAGAACCTGGAGGCTTAAACTCACACTGGGCGCGTGTGCGTGTGTGCCCAAGAAGCCGAGAAGAGAATGGAGGAGAAGGGATTACGGCGTGGCCATTCCCCCTGGGGGGGGTGATTTCTCACTTTCTGCCTCTCTCTGTCTTTCTGGCAAGCGCACACACCCTATAACAAAAAGCTCTCAAAAAAAAACAAACAAACAAACAAACAAAAAAACTTTTAAAATTGCTAAAACTTGGCTACTTTGAAAAGGAGTTCTGACAATGGAGTAAATAACGAATTTCTCCTACAGAAAAGGTTATCTAGAACAGAACTTAATAATCAGCTATCTAATTTGATTTTGTTTCTACTTCTAAGACTTTAAAAAAAAGACTGTAAAGCATTAGCTCAATCAGCCCTCAATGACCCAGCTTAATCAGTAATCACCAATTTAGCTTCAAAGATTATCATGTGATCTATGTCTTATTATTATTCAGAAGTTAGCAATATTAATCCACAAATTTCAAGAGGTGATCATTCTTTTAAAAAAATCAAATCAAGCCACTTATTTTCTTAAAGTTGCAATTAAGATCAGGTTAAAAAAAAATCTAAGAGTAAATTCTAAGTCAATAAATTACTTTAAAATGAAAACCTTCAACATAATTACTGTTTTAAGTCAGAGAAAGTTACAAGAGGAAAAATAATAAGCCATCCAGAATATACTTGAGTTTATTTAGGAGATGTTAATATTCAATTTATATTGGGACCAGCAGATAGAGTAATGGCTATGTCGCTGGACTCCCATGTAGTCTCCCATGGTTCGAGTCCCGGACCCGGTAACTTAAACTCACACCAGGCGCGTGTGTGTGCATACCCAAGATCCCTAGAGGAGAATGGAGGAGAAGGGATTGCAGTGTGGCCAACACCCAGGGAGAGTGATTTCTCGTTTTCTGTTTCTCTGTCTGACTCTGTCTTTCTTGCAAGCACACGCATCCTATAGCAAAAATCTTTCCAAAAAAAAAAAAAGTTAAGATTTTATTTTTATATTGACGCTTATACATATGAGATTACAAGGGAGGCAACACTGTGTGGCAGGGAAGAGCACAGACTACGTTAAAATCCTTGTAGAAGTTACAAAGCCACTAATTGGCAGAGCCAAGATCTGTTCCAAAGTTCTGCTAACTTAATAGGTCTGTAACTTCTCCAAGTACCAATTTCCTCATCTGTAAAATCAGGATGCAAGTAAATCTATAGCGTTATTATAAAAATTCAATGAATTAGTATTTCTAAATTACTTAGAATACTCTGTAACATAGCTAATCTGTTAAATATGTTCTACTACATTCTTCAGAATACTGTCATCATAGTTCATTTTTTTCATGTACCATATAATAGCTGAACCACTTTACTTTCACAAATTCGGTCCTTGAAATGTGTCTAGGGAACCCTGCTCATTCAATATAATTAGTTATCTAATAAACCTAAAGTTCTGTCTTTAGATTACTGATACGTATTTTCTCAAGTTTCTTTCTTTCTTCTATAAGCAAGAGAGACAGGGAGACAAAAAAGAAAAGGAGACAGAGACACAGTGGCACCCCCAACAAAGTCTTCAATGCCACGATCCACCCCCACTTCAGCCAGCCCTGCGTCATGGACACACACCCACCCAGGGTATTTGGGCATGTATCTGGAGGAAACCAGTACACTTTGTGTGGATCAGCCTTGCAGAGCATAGTGTTACTGCTGCATTACTTACCAGCCCCAGAGATCACTGATACTGTTAATGAACATGGCTATAGATACTTTATGTTCCAGTAGGCTATTAGAAATAATTTAACAATCTTAAACTAATGTAGACTCTTTTTGGTCAGTAGAAATAATATAAAATACTATTTTCTCCTAATGAAATGTTATCTCTACTTCGAATTTGATAAATACATTATCTGTGTTGCATCATTAAAACAATTTCAAGATTTCAGTGCTACTTACCACTGATTGTCTTAGGCTTTTTAGTTATATATTCCTTCCATTTTCTGGAACTGAGTTGGTGGGGAGGTGGAATAAGTATGCTACTAATGGTACATGGCAATACAAAAAGAGCACCAACCTAAATAAAAAAAGAACATATTTTTATTGATTGTGCACTGCTGTTCATTTTTGAATAATGCTGTATGACAATTTTCTACTCATATTTTACCAATTTAACATGTATTTAATACTCTCTCCCAACAGTTCTGCTATAAAGACTATTTTAAAAAGAACGGTGTCCCACCCTCTGCCAAAAAAGGTGGGAAAAAAAAAAAAAAAAAAAAAAAAAAGTCTGAACGCCAGACAAACCAAAATAGAGAAAGGGATTCAGAGCTACAAGCTTCCCTTTTCCACTGAGCTATTCAAACATCTCTGAAAACCTTGTTATTCACAGTGTGTGCTTCAAGTTCAGACCTGTGAGTATAATTTCTTGGTATATACAAAGCAGTAGGAGGCTGTGAGTTCCAGCACCAAAAGATTTTGTCACATTCAATCATAATTTTAAAACCTTTGACCAGATAAATTATAGTTCTGGCTTTGAAATTAGAATTTATCTGGGATCAGCAGGTGGTGTGGTAGAATAGGCGCTGGACTCCTACACAGATGACTGTGGTTCTAGTCTAAGGACTGGTAGGTTGTCTTCTCACTTTCTCTCTCTTTCTCTCTCTCTCTCTCTCTCTCTCTCTCTCTCTCTCTCTCTGGTGAGCATACATGCCCTACAGCAAGTAAAAAGAAAAAATATAAAAAGATTTAAAAAAAAGAAAGAATATATCTGAAGGCAATTTAGAAACTGCCTAGAAATTTCAAATTGTTCCGGGAACCAGCAGTTAGCGTAATGGCTATGTCGCTGGACTCCCACGTAGTCAACTGCGGTTCATGTCCTGGACCCAGTGGCTTAAAACTCACACCGGACGCGTGTGTGTGCGTGCCCAAGATCCCGAGAGGAGAATGGAGGAGAAGGGATTGCGGTGTGACCATCCACCCCAGGGGGGTGATTTCTCGCTTTCTATCTCTATGTCTCTCTCTGTCTGTCTGGTGAGCGCACGCTCCCTATAGCGAAAACCTCTCCGAAAAAAAAAAAAATTTCAATTTGTTCCTATTGATAAAAAATTTCGTGCTAATAGCTAAAAACTGCAGAGAACAATGAATGATATGCTAGGGAATACACTGAAGCCATTGCCTGGTTTATGAACAAACTAAACATTCATCTTTGTATTGCTAGTGCTGGGTATACAGATGTTTATTAAATATTTGTTTTAAAAAATCATCACAATGTAAGTAAATTCTCAGTTTGATTGAGGACTAAATAAAGCAAATTACGATTTGCAAAAACTTATTTTGCCTGTTACTTTAGAAATGCAGTTACATCAATCAGCATATACAAATAAAGAAGACTGGTTTCTTTTTTTTTTCTTTTTTTGAGAGATTTTGCTATAGGGCAGGTGCGTATACATGTGAGCCCAAGATTCTGGGAGGAAAATGGAGGAGAAAGGGATTGCAGTGTGGCCACCCCCAGGGGTGGTGATTTCTTACTTTCCCTTTCACTGTCTCTGTCTCTCTTTAGCAAACCCGTGCACCCTAAAGCAAAGACATCTTAAAACACGAAAAAAAGTATCCTTTATAAATGAACTGGCTGCATGAGATATGTGCTACCTGATGAATAGCTTAATGTGCTAATTTTGTTGCCATTATTATTATTTTCACTTATATATTCCAATAGATATAAGATACTTTAAGAACAAAATAAAGTAAAAATAAATATGCTTATTTCTCTATTATTATATCCATAATCTTTTTAAACTCAAGTATACTTTACATATTCAAGCACTAGATATTAAAAGTAAAAATATATAGGGCCAGTCAGGTGATAGCTAAGGCATCTGGATCCCATATGACCAACTGTGCAGTTCGAGTCCTGAAACCAGCAACTTGAAAACCTCACCCAGTACATGTGCAAGTGTGCCCAAAATCCTGAAAGGAGAAGGGATTGTGGTGTGTTCATACCCTCTGGGAGGTGCTTTCTCATTTTCCCTCTCTCTCTCCATCCTATCCTGTCTCTCTCTGGTGAGCATAAGCACCCTATAGCAAATTAAAATAATTTAAAAAATTAAATTGTAATAGAATAATGAAATATTTTTAGAAATCTAATCTCCTCAACATTAAATCCCAGTCCTCTTTTCTTGCATAAATGAGACTTCATAACCCCAAATGCATGACAAGACTGGATGGCCCAAAAGGTCAACAAGGTTATAATGTAATTATGCCAGATGAGATCCAATTAGAGCTTTCTCAATATTTCAGAGATGCTAAATGCAGTTCAACACATAATTTAAAGTCTAATACAAATGACCCATCAGCTGAAGAAGTAGCCATAGTTTAGGGGAACCAGCAGTTAGCATAATAGCTATGTCGCTGTACTCCCACATAGTTGACTGCGGTTTGCGTCCCGGACCCGGTGGCTTAAAACTCACGCCGGGCGCGTGTGCGTGGGTGCCCAAGATCCCGAGAGGAGAATGGAGGAGAAGGGATTGCAGCATGACCATCCCCCCGGGAGGTGATTTTT